GAACTAAACCACCAGAAGAAGTACACGGCAACCCTCCAAGTCCCAATCTCTCTGCCGGTCAGCAACAAAAAACTCTTCCTTCCTTCCTTTTATTCCTGTATAATATCTCGAACGTACAACCTTCGTCTCGTCCTGGGGGCTGGCTCCCTGGCATCAACCATTATTCTCAATGTTCCTCTGGAGGTTGTCGTCGAAGGGTCTGGAGATTCGGCCCCTAACAGTCTCCCTGATTATGTGAGTTCGGATCAGCCTACTATCCAATGGTAAACGTTGACTAATCTATAAATCATAGGCGCAAATCGACCTAGAAGAGTTAACTCCTCTTGAATCTCTTCCATCTTATACCCCATGATTGATTTTGGCGTTGATTTCTTGTTCTTAGCATACCATGTGAGGAGTAATATCGGACTTGGACGTATGACAACATGAAAATACCATAGCGTTACCCATAGTATTTAATTTAATGCAGATTTCCAATATCTTCAGAGACATCTCCTCGCTGGCCCAAGTTGCTCTTGACAACTCGATGTGCACATGTACAAACCATTGTCGAGGTTTCTCTACGGGTATGGCCCGTTCCCACGTCCAGTAATCAGAACTTTATAGAACAGCGGCAACAATCCTCTGACCAAGATCTACTGAATAAAGATAATAAACAATTAACCCCTTCGAGGGTAAGCAAGGCTCGTCTACTAGATATTGAAATCATGAGCCAGTACTACAGACGTATCACGAGTCACCATGCTTATCCATACAATTGCCTTTATCAAAATGGATTCGATATACAAAAAAAAACGTCCTCATTAGGTCGAGCACCAGCCAATATTCATACTATCCATGTACTCCTCAAAGATCCGCCCGGGAACTATAGACACTTAACATACATATAGAAATTACATTATCGAAGGAACAGTCGTGAGCCATCCAGGTCCCTATGCAGCCTCGCCATCCATGCAATACCATTATCAGAGTATCAGTACGGTCATTTCCACTTCATGCTCGCTACCAGTCTGGCTAAGGATTCAGAAGATATAATTTGAGCCGATGCTGCTCTTATACCCTAATAATAACTTTTCCGCATGTCTTGGACGACATGACACGTTCATAAGCCTAGCAGACACGATGAGAGATATTCGTAGTAGAGAGGATGTAGGGTGCAGGTGCATACCTCAACGGCTTGGTCCATACAGAACATTGAGTCGATCGGGACTTCAGTGATGATGCCCTGGTCCGCCAATCTCACGGCTTCTCTTTGGAGATCTCCAGATGGCGACAGGTGCACTGCCTTGTAGTGTCGAGGTCCTCCACCGAGGAACTCGGGCAGAGCATTGCGTTTGAGCGAGGGGCCGTAGAATAATTTACTGCCGTCTCCAGGTATTCCAACATAAACACCAGAGCGCTTGAGAAAACTGGCCGAGTTCTTGTACAGCGACGAGTCTCCTACACAGTCGAAGACGGTATCAATGTCTTCTCCGTAAGTGGAACTGAGCAAGTCAGGTATTGACTCTGTGCTCTCAAAGTCCAGAACCTATTAGAATATGTTAGCCACGGGAGAATCAAGCAAGAAATGTTTTTTTTAAAAGTGCACACGCACATGATCAGCCCCCAGCTCACCCAGCCGGTCCATGTTGTTCGCAGAGCAAATCCCAATCACATACGCGCCCTTCTCACTCTTGACAATCTGCGTCAGCGCAGAACCCACGCCGCCCCCCGCGCCATTAATGACAACCTTGTGGCCAGCCTTGACCGGCCTGCTCTGCAGCATCGTCAGCGCCGCCTGCGTCGCGAGCCCCAGCCCCGCCGTCGCGGCCATGTTGAGCGTCAGCGGCCGGGGCACGACGAGCGAGGCTGGCACCTCGATGTACTCGGCCAGCGTCCCCTTGCCCATGAGTGCGAGCCCGTTGCTGATGACGCCGCAGACCTCGTCGCCCAGGTCGAGGTCCAGCGGGGCAAAGGGCCCCTTGGCGACGATGCGGCCGGAGAAGTCGAAGCCGGGCACCGACGTCCGCCGGAAGGGGTTGTTCTTGTGGCTGCGCATGAAGTGGAAGTCGACCTGGTTGAGCGCCGCGAACTCGATCTTGATGATGACGTTGGCCTCGGTGGCCTTGGAGGGCGTCGGGCACGACTCGCGCAGCTCCAGGGACGGCGAGTCCGGGTCGCCGCCCGTCTTCGCGATGACCCAGGCGCTCATGCTAGACGGCAGCTGTTTGACGCCGTCCATCGGATGTCATCTCGCAATAGAGCGGATACAGGACTGGACCAGTTGACCAGTTGGTGGGCGAGGAGAGGAAGAGAGGGAAGATCAACCCCCAACAGACGCAAGCAGATGATATTTCTTCCTGTCGCATCATCCTGGAAGGATTTGACGCAGACTCCACTGATCTCCGCAACACTCGCCCAGTTCTCCGTGTCTGATCGCACTCGACCGGCCTGCAGATTGGCTGGACGGCCCCCGTTACAGAGCTGATCCAAACTTTGGCACGCCATGGGCCAGCGCACAAGGGGCCAATCACTGCTGCTGCTCGAGACTTGGCGGCGGGCGGGCAATCAAAGGCTTCATTTGGCGCCTCTTTAGATTGCGCCGGTATCACACCAGGGGGAGAGGAGGGGCCATATGCCTTTTCCATTTCGGCACGCCGCCATGCGGGGGTCGTTTAGTTTGCTGTCCCCAGGTTCAATTTAAGCTCTTGTTCCCTGTGGCGAACGTAATCCCGCCGCGTGTACAGAATTGCCTGCCCAGGAGTTTGTGGTGTCGCAGGTTAATCTGGGTCTCTGTGTGAGTGTGTGTCTCGTGTCCTGGGTCTGAGCTGCGCGTGTGATCACTTCAGCGCCCGTATTGGAAACTGATTCGGGTGTGTACAGGGTCAATCTCAGCCAGCGAAGCAAGAGGCGGTCTCGAAGGGTGACGTTTCATCCTGGTTGAGCCCTGTCTCGACACTTGATGAGGAGCCAGGACCCCTACATGTTCGGTTAGGAATAGGCTCAACCGCGCTGGCTGTGTGATTGATATTGCATTCCACTCCTCGCGAGGAGAATATGAATCCTGCTCAGCCCTATTGATATATGTACTGGCCCCAAAAGCCAGAAGCTGCCTCCATCAACGGCGCTCGACCGGTTGGCCACTCTACCTCCCCGCCGGCTAAAATCAATAGTTTGCCTCCTCCCACTTCGGATGGACCCGCCAACCGATGTCACAGCGAGGGGAACGCGTGGGACCGAAGCCAGCCGAAGGTGGCGGCTTCAACCAGGTCTCGGCCGGGCATCAACCTGGGCACCAAGTCGTATACCGCGTTGACCCAGCCACCATTGGTCAGTGCTACCTCCCGTCCAACTCTCACTTGATGATCTTATAGGTGGGTTGGATCATACACGGTCACCTTCGGAACCATCAGGAGATTAGAGCCAGTCTTTGATGCGGATAGAAATCAATATTCGTCAACCAACTACAGTCAAGCACCCATCTCACCAAGGAAGAATGTTCCTCTGGAATCTGTAGGCTCTGGCGCAGGGGTCCGTCGACTGTGAGTCAAACAAGCAACCGGCGTTCGTTCAAGGATGCGAACCCCCAATCCCGAGCTGCCAAGAAGATTATTGTTTCGGACAACCAACAGCAACGTCAGCGATGCCAGGTCGCCACATTCAAATTGTCCCCGGTGATGTGGGTTTAATATTCCAGGCTATAACGTCTTGTTGGCAGGACCTTGATTTATCCCAATCATAGCACGCAGACCAATTTGTGAAATGAGATGCATCGAGAGCCATGTACGTGACCCAAGATGCCGTTGTAATTTTCTTACAGCAGTATCCCTCTAATCACAGCAAGTAATTTGCTACTCCTGTAGATTTACAGTCCTTCTGATAAAAGCAGAAGGTATCGTAAGAGGCACTATGTCAACAGGGAATTTCCCATCTCAACCACAAAATAAAGCATCTGCCTCATGAAGCACCGAGTACATTCTACTTCTTCTCGTTGCGTTTTGGAAGTGCCATAGGTCTAGACAATGGTAGCGGCCAGGCTGATGCTACCACGAGAAATCTTGACTACCATTTTCCAACATATACGCGGTCTTGGAACCATGTGCCAAAGTCCAACTCCGATCCTTGACGAGCAAAAGGCGGAACCTTCTATTCGACGTATCTCCCTGTCGAAATTCAAAGCAGCATACTTGTTGTTAAATATGTTCTTGAACCTTGCGTGATCTATTTGAGTTACTCTGCCCCCATAGATATGCCCGCACGAGCCACCGGGGTCTCATAGTCTACCTCCCAATATGCGCTGCAGCCGGATAATGAATCAGCAGAGTAAGTACCGTAGTCTAGTATTCCGAGTGCATCTGGGACGAATCAAGATGAATCGCTCGCAAGAAAAGGGTTCCTAATATCTCTCAGTAGAGCCCATGCGAGTTGCATGCACGGAGGAGCTTGGTAGTGCCTAAACATCACCTTCATGCTGCTTGCTCCATTGGCGAAAGTATTTAAAGATGAGCGCATTGCATATACCAACAAGATCAAATTTTGGCTAGCAAATGATACGGATTCTTCTACATTTGCAAAACTCCTGTTGAAAGACGATATCAGGTGGTGGAAAGGATTTTTATTCAATGGTGTAGTGACGGGCCTCCGCTCCCGTAATACTTCCCAACTTCACGTATAACAAGGACACTTTGAGGAGATCAGTGCATCCTAGAAAAGTCAGCCAACCCTAGGAATACAAAAAAAAGGCCTGGAACTCCTCATCATATATCACATTTAATGAATATGCATAAACAGATCTGCAGAGATGTGTCGTATTTTTATGAAAACCTCCATTTGTCAGATCTGATGAATGAGCGACATGCATGTAAAACATCGCGATCAACATGACCGGGCTTTGGAGCTCCTCAATTGGACAATGCCATTAGTGTCAGCTTGTAGTGCAACATCAGTAGTGGTGGTGAAAAAAGCATCATTTCTAAGCTAGATTGAATCATTATATGAATGGGTATCGATTATCATCAGACATGAACCACCTACTCCCATCGTCCCCTGTCATGTACATAAACAAATGCGTTCGACTGGCAAGATCCTCCGGCGTTAAGTGTAGATCATTTAGTCATGTCCCATGGGAAAACCAAATCATCATCATAAAGACAGACGTGAATGGGGGGGAATAAAAAAACAGAGAGGTAAAACAGATTTTTATCGCAGGGAAGCCGCTACCTCAGGAGGACGTAGCAAGGGCAGCCCCGCCAATTATGAGGCGGCAGCGGCCTCTTGGGGAGCACCGTTCTCCTTCTTCTCCGTCTTGGCGGCGGCCTCCTCAAGCTCCTTGATCTTCTTCTCAAGGGCTGTGTTCTTCTCCAGAGCGGCCTTCTTGTCGGCCTCGGCAGCCTCAAGCTCCTTGACCTTCTTCTCAAGGGCCTCGGTCTTCTCGACAGCCGCCTTCTTCTCGGTTTCGCTGGTCTCGAGCTTGGTCTTAAGCTCGGCCTCGCTGTCCTTGGCCTTCTTAGCTTCAGCCTCAGCAGCGTCGATCTTGGTCTTCAGGTCGGCAGCACCATCCTCAGCCGTCTTCTGGGCAGCCTCGGCAGCTTCCAACTTGGTCTTCAGGGCAGCCTCGCCTTCTTTGGCGGTCTTGGCATCACCCTCAGCGGCCTCAAGCTTCGTCTTGAGCTCGGCGGCGCTATCCTCGACTGCCTTCTTGGCGGCCTCGGCAGCCTCGATCTTCTTCTTCAGATCAGCGGCACTGTCTTCGACAGCCTTCTTCTCAGCCTCGGCGGCCTCGATCTTCTTCTTGAGCTCAGCAGCGCTCTCCTCAACCGACTTCTTCTCGGCTTCGGCAGCCTCGATCTTCTTCTTAAGTTCGGCGGCGGCGTCCTCAGCGGTCTTCTTCTCGCCCTCAGCAGACTCAACCTTCGTCTTCAGCTCAGCAGCACTGTCCTCGGCAGTCTTCTTTTCAGCCTCGGCGGCAGTGAGCTTCGTCTTCAGGTCGGCCTCAGCATCCTTGGCGGTCTTAGCCTCGGTCTGGGCGGCGGTGGCACTGGCCTCAGCAGCATCGAGCTTGGTCTGGAGGGCAGCCTCAACCTCCTTGGCTGTCGTGACGTCCGCCTCAGCAGTCTTCAGGCTGGCCTGGGCCGCCTCGAGCTTGGCATTGAGCTCAGACTCGGTACCTTGGACCTTGGTCTCGAGCTCCTTCTTCTCCTATAAGCAGCATATGTCAGTATGAAGTTCAATTGACGGCACGGTGATGAGTGTGGCACTTACAGCTTCCAGGGCCTTGGCATCAGTCTCTGCCTTGGTTGCCTTGGCCTCAGCCTCCTCCAACTTCTTGGTGAGCTCGCCAACCTTGGTCGAGAGCTCGTCGCTAGCCTTCTTGGCAGCAGCGAGGTCGTCACCGAGGGCCTTGGCCTTGGCGGTGCTCTCCTCCTGTTCCTTTTGCAGGGCCTCGATCTCGGTAGCCTGCTCAGCAACCTCCTTGGTGAGGGCTTCCTTCTCCTCGGTCAGGGCCTTGACCTTGGCCTCAGCCTCGGTGATGCTGGCCTGAGCCTTCTCGAGGGCTGCCTTGTTCTCCTCGGTGAGCTTCTTCTGGGCCTCCTCCTTATCAGCAACGTCCTTCTGGGCCTTGGCAACCTCAGCACGGGATTGCTCCAGCTCGGCCTCGATCTTGGAGAGAGCAGCATCGCTCTGCTTCTCGGCGTCGGCAAGGGCCTTCTTGGCATCCGCAGCTTCCTTCTGGGCAGCGGCCAGGTCAGCAGCAGATCCGCTCTTCAGGCCCTCGTTGGCCTTCTCCAACTCGGCGTATTTGGCCTCGAGCTCCTCCAGGGCGCTCTGCTTTGAGGCAATCTCGGCATTGGAGTCGGTGGACAGCTTGTCGTGGGTCTGCTGCAGGGTCGCGTGCTTGCTCTCGAGCTCGCCCAGGCTGGTCTTGGAAGCAGCAAGCTCGGCCTCGGAGTCGGCCTTGAGCTTCTCGTGTGTCTCAGACAGTGCCTGGAGCTTGGCCTGGGAGTCGGCGGCAGCTTGCTTGTGCTCCTCGAGGGCCTTATTGGCAGCGGTGAGGTCGGACTCGAGCTTGGCGGAGGTCTCCTTCAAGGAGCCCTGCTCCTTCTCGGCGGTGGTGGCGCGGGCAATGAGGGCCTCAATCTCGGCCTTGAGGGCCTTCTCGGACGCATCGAGGGCCTCCTTGGCATCGGTCACCTCCTGGGTGAGCTTGGTGATCTCGGCCTTGAGGGTCTGACGCTCGGCGTCGACGGCCTGGACATTCTCCTCGACGAGAACCAGCTGCGCCTTTGTATCCTCGAGCTCCTGCTTGAAAGCCTCGTGCTCCTCGCGGGTGAGCTCCTCCTTGGTCTTCAGCTCGGTCTGGAGCTCGGCAAGCAGCGACTTTGTCTCATCGCCGGAGGAGTGAAGCTGGCCTTCGAGGTCTTTGATCTTCTTTCGGAGCTCGTCGGCTTCGGCGGAGAGCAGGGTGTGCTCCTTCTCCTTCTTGGAGATGTCGCTTTCGAGGACGTTGATGGTGTCCTTCTTGTCGGCAAGCTCCTGCTCGAGCTCTAGTCTCTCGGCTTTCGTGAGGGCCTCACCGCTGGACGAAAAGATGGATAAGGTATTGCCCATGTCGAACTAGCAGAAAAAAATCAACTGCAGATGTGGTGGGGCTGATCAGGTTCGGGAGGGGCAAAGGAGAGAGGAAGAGAGACAAATAGAAGCACTTTCGATTGTCAGATCCTCCTGGGAAAAGAGAATATGAGACAAAGACGACGTGAGGGGAGGGCAGGGAGGTAGGAGGAGCAGATATGGTGGTGGTGGTGGGAGCTTTGGAGGGGGAGGAGAAAAACCGAGCCAGCAGCCGAGGAGGTCAATGGCGGTCCCGCTGGACGCTTTAACAGGCTGGCAGGGAAATGTTTTCGGACCCTGGCCTGGTTTTTTTCTTCCTGCCTGGGCTGGGCTGGGCTGGGCTCGGCGGCGTGTTTGCTGTTACCTGAGTGATGGAAAATGAGGTGGTGGACGAAATGTGGGTAAGTTGCGGTGGGAAAAGCGGCGCTACTCATGCGCCTAATAAAGACAGCCAGCACAGCGCGACACAGGCGAGAAGGTGGTGGTTGAACAATGCACCGCTGTCCACCACCCGCACGGCCCCTCCGGCACGCACATGCACCACCAGCAGTGAAAACGTGGCTGTCTGAGCACCGTGAGCCTTTGTGCGGTCGTCTCGTCTCGTCTGTGGCCGGCTGGAGGGAGGATGCACGAACTGAATGAATCGCCATCACCTGCTCCAAGTGGGGGAGGGGGCAGGAAAAGAGGTTGAACGGCTCCTGCCCAGCCTTTCCTACAGCCTCTTAGGCGCTGGGGCCAGTGGGCGTTGGTAATTCCCGACCTCTCCAGGCGCCCTCCTCGCTGGACCCCAGCCGGCTTAGGCCCTGGGCAGCCCGCTAGCGCAGTGCAACGACCTGGAGGTTCGGGCGCTCAGACCACTAACCGCCACTCCAGCGGCCCGAGCGGCTTATCGATAGGGCCCGGTACGTCATTTCCGTTCATGCTCATCCCACGGCCAAGACACGCCATTGTCAAAACCGCGGCATCACAGGCTGGTAGAAGAGCTACCCTGTATCACGTTTCTCATCGCCAGATATACCAACATCCCCTCATTGTCCCTGATTCCTGTCAGGGAAAGTGCTGGTCATACAGAAGCATACATGAACAAGCTCACCGATTATCCGACACCCAATGCAGCGGCACGCGTGAAAGGTGTAGTGTTTCCAACCGGTTCTGTGATGGATGCAAACTTTTTACAATGGAGAGCTCTGCCGCAATCTCCCCACCATCTTCGCTGTCAATGCCACACTGTACAGCTCACGTATCTCTCAGTAACAGGCCCCTACCCGCTAGTACCTCCCAGGGCCCCTGCTCCATGCCGTTTGTCACGGCAGCCCTGGAAATTGCTCTCGCATCACCCTCCCGATTAGCTTCCCGAGGAAAAACAAACAAATCGCCTGCATGACCGTGGCCTGCCCTCGTATAGCTCGCTAGCAGCGGGTGTTTTGCATTCTGCATCGTCGCGCACAGACAGATCGGAGCGATGACTTGCACGCGCTCGCTGTCAGCTCCGGGTGGCTTGAGCAAGGGAACGAACGGCCCCTGACTCGCACCCAATAGCGGGCCCGCTGTCCGCTAGACTCCAGCAAGGTGCCTGTATTTGGGGTTCGTTGGTACCTGACGACCGCTGGAGACGAACTGTGGCAGGTACTTTGGTGGTGCCTGATGCAGGGTAGCCCAGCTCTTCACCGCTCTGATCTTCCTCCCTGTTGATCCCGCTCTCTCCCAACCAGGTCCCCAGTTTGAAGATACTCTCTCTCCTCCCATTCGCGAGCGGCAAGATGATCTCCCTTGCCTGCATATCGCATCTCGACGCTATGTCCCATTACGGTCTCCTCGATTACTCCTCACTGACCACGGTCTTCTCTCTCGGACGATATCACGCCCAAGATCCACCCCAAAGTGACGTGGCGCCAAGCTGAGACAGAGCTGATTTCGTGCCTGGAAGTTTCCAAGACGTTCGGATGGCTGCTGTCGTGTGAGTCACGCATCTGCATATGCCGAAACAGAGTTCATCCAATAAACTTCCGATTAATTATTATTCCCACCGGTGTAGGTGAGGGAGAAGTGTAGGTATGGGCTACGACTACAGAATGCTAATTAACATGAGCAAAGTCTGGCTGAGACTTGCAGAACGGAACGACACGGATCCATAATCCCTTTTCCGTCCTTATTTGCTGTGCGGCTTCTGCTCCTCGCTGCTGAGCAGTACTTGCTTCTCCTTCTTCAGCTCCTTGGCGAATTCAATTGGCACGTTCAGCACGTTGGCTACGATGTCGGAGGGCGTCAGAGCGAGCCATTGCGTGAGCGAGATGTCGGCCACCTTCTCGGCCTTGTAGATTTCAATCCAAATGAGGTCCTCTGTGCCGACGTTCTCAATATAGTGGCTGGGAATTGAGTCAGTCGGCGCCACCGGAAGGTAAAAGTGAACACAAATTGCTTACCCAGAGTTGTCAGGGAACACGGCAGTGTCTCCAGCAGAGAAGTCGAAGGTTCGGGCATTTCCGTTGCCAGTGAAGGCTGTGGCCTGAGCCTTGCCCTTGTGGAAGTACAGCCACTCCTCGGCCTGTTTAAGGGTTCACGGTCAGCTCAGAGATCCTGCAACACAAAAATCGGCGTGCTGCTACATACATTGGGGTGCCAGTGGAGCTCTCGCAGACCACCGGGCTTGAGGGTCACGTAGGTCGCGGCAATGGTCTTGCTGATGGGGAAGTTGGTCGAGTCAATCTTGCGGAATTCACCTCCGCTCCCGCCGATCTTCTCGGCATTGTGCTGAAGGGTGCGGTAGACGAAAGAGGCGTCTCCGGAGGCATTGGAGTCGGGGGCATTCGTAACGTCGCCGTTGGAGACGGTGCCATTGACAATGTACGGGCTGCCCTGGCGAAGCTTGTCAAAGACCTTCTGGTCAACACCAAAGTTCTTGGCCAGAACATCCTTGGGTGTGTGTGACAGCCAGTCATCGATGTTGAAGGTGGTTCTGGTGGAGGGTATGTTAGGACATATCGTACAAGTAAACAGACCATTCTACTCACCCTGCCTTGTCAAAGTCACCGTCATCGAAGACAAGAAGGAACTCATTGTCCTCGTCGAGTCCATGCACAGCGTGTGCGATTCCCTTGGGGAAGTACCAGATATCACCTAAGCCCAACTCGACGTTCTGATAGACGCCGTTCTCATCAACAGCATTTATCAGAACGCGACCAGCGTAGACGAAACCCCATTCGGCCTAGGTGGAATTAGTATTCTATTACCATCTTGATAATGAATGTGTGGAACTTACGACACGGTGCCAATGGAGTTCTCGGGTCGCGCCCTTCTTGAGATGCTGCTGAGCGGCAGCAATATCGTGGCTCTGCGGCAGATCCTGGATGACCTGCTCTCTGACCCAACCGCCGTTCAACAGGCGAGTCTTGGAGTCAGAGAAGCTCCACTTCAGATTGGGAACAATACCCGAGTCGGTAGACTGGCGACCCAAGTTGTCAGGGTTCTCCAGATCTCGAGATGGGTTGGTTCCACCTGGGATCAAGCAGGCATCGGTCAGCGGTCAGCAAGCTCGTGCATATGATGTATCGACATACCCAGGATAGGTCCACCCTTGCCATCGCTGCTGATGGGCTGTCCCTTGTCAAACCCGGCATTGTCCCTGGGGACGACGTTGGGTGCTCCGAGCACCTGAGTCGCAAAGGACAGCGCCAGTGCGGAAAGGAGTGAGGCCTTCATGGCGAGGAGTAACAAAATTGCAATTGGCTCCGTGATGGCAGGTGACAGACAGTATAAGTCTGATTAGAGAGAGACGAGGTGCCAGAGACTGGTGTGCCGTACCAGGTGGAAGACAGTTGCAGATCACAGCTTCTTTATAAGCCTGAGAAGCCTCTCGCAGAGTCACACTTGTTGTGGCTTGCGGTAGCTGTGCAGCGTCTCTGTCGGCATGATATCACCATGTAGCATTATCGCGGAATTACATCACACATCAGCAACTTGATTTCGATCTTCCTCACTCCATTTCCTGGCCTGCCGCCGTCTCAATATTGGACACCTTCGTACATCTGAACCTCAATGGCGACATCTCCAGTCAATGAGAAGCGAGGGCGCCATGCATGGCTACGCCATTGGAGTGATACTCGAAACGTATGAGATCGGCATCTGAGCAGAAGAGATGGGGGTTAGCCTACCATTAAAGCCGTGTGGACTCTGCCGATCTGCCATCTTGGTTATTTGAGCCACCGCTGGGTAAATTTGGGATGCTACGGTGGCGCCATCACGCCATTGTGGGTGAGATGGTGATATAGCCCGAGTCTCATCGGCGCGGTCACGATGACAGCCTCATTTACCACTCGACCCATTGGCGGCAGCTACGGGACTTGGCCCACCCTCTGGCAAACTTTTAACCTTGGAGATGAGCTTACTGAGGATGAACTAAGTGCCTTGTGGGACTCCAGCGCATTGTGTCCATCAGGCTGCCTCCTGATCGCCCATTACCCATGGGGGTGGACTTGCCGTGAGCATTGGCGATCGGAGGATTCTACCATGTGTTCTTGGCGAACGGCACATCAATCTTGGAGGGGATTTCGATTTTGGAATGGGTCTTGTGATGGCGTCCCAGTTTGACGCCGACCGACCTCCGTGCTCAAGCTGCCACCAGACATCTCTTACACCCTGACGCCTTGTTACTCCTTTCCTCATTGTCGAGTTCTTGTTAGAAGACTCCTTTTCCTCTCCCCCCATCTTTTCATATTCAAGCTTATCTCTGTCCAGCGATGATCGTCATTGTTTAATGAGACCTCCTTGCCCATCACATTGCGTGACTGGAGGATCACGCTTGTCTGGACCGATTGTTCCCCAAGGGCACTAACCACCAAGAGCACTTGTTCGAAGCTGAGCTAAACCCAGCGCTTCGGCCCTACGGCACATAGCCCGGCCAAGAGCTGTCACTCCAACCAATACCGAATCTAACCCACACAACCCTCAAGCTGAGCTAAGGCAGGAACGCCAAGAGTGTGAGGCCCGGATAGGAGATGATCTCTGCTCGAGATTGAGATTTCGATCATGAGCTGGACCAAAAGGGT